ATTTCCGACCCGCGCGGCGCGTCCCCGATCCCCTGCTGGGGATGTCCTCCGGAGACTGCTGGAATGGAACCGTGCTTTTGGTGCGGTGTCTGGGGCGAATCCGCGAATGCGGTCATCTGTGGCTTGCGTGATTCGGCCCGAAAGGGCCCGGCACCTTGGGGCCCTCTGGAGACCGCGCGGAGCCACTTGCGCGCGCGCGCGCCGTTCTTCCCTGGCACAGGAAACAGCGAGGCGCGCAGGGCCTGGCCGCGGAGCCCACGCCATGCGCGGGAATTCCCACGGGCGCCCTCCAATTTGAAATCGGTCTTGGCAGTAGGGCAGGAGGGCCGTCGGCCGCCAGATGACACATGAACCGTCGCCGCCACTTGCGCGCCGAGCAATGAGACGCCTCCACGCCACCTCTCGCCCGTCGAGAGGACAGAGGCGGCGAGCGCTCGCGGGCGTCCGGCGGCCCGAACTGGCCGGCGCGCTTCGCGAGTCGCGGCGGGGAAGCAATAAGCGCGAGAGGAAAGGTCGACGCGCCGCCCCTTGCGGCCCTTGCCGAGGCCGACGCGCGGCAAGAAATTTCTCGCAGCCCCCAAATCGCACCGTCTGCCCGCCCAGTCGACGGTCTTTCCAACGCCGCACCCCCCGAAGCTCCCCCCTCGATCAGCCCGGCGCCTGCGCCGAGGGCGGTTGCCGCGACGCCCGCGCGATCGCTGGTGGACATGCGCGCGACCAAGAAGCCCCGCGGAACCGAATCCAGCTGCTTCCGGCCCGCGAAACTGGGCGCGCGCCGACTCGATTGACTCGACCGTCGCGCTCGCCGCAGCCGCCAGCGCCCCGAAGAGCGACCCTTCTGGACTTCCCGGCAATGACTTCCTATATCGATCAGGACCTGGCGCAGGGGGCCCCGCGGAAACCCAGCGAAGGCCTCGAAGATGCCCCCGGAACCGCCCGGGGGCTACACTAGTGGCGCGCGACAGCGCGTTGCCCTTACCCAGAATCGAGGGTCCGCGAGCCCAATTTGCACCAAGCTAAGCCCCTGGTTTTCTTTGCGCCATCGCCCCAAAATGGGTTTTCAGAAAATGAAGTAGCTCCAAACAGCGGAACGCATTGGCGGCCCAAGGTCGTTGAAGCGCTTCCCAGAGAGGATATGGACGACCTCGGGCGAAACGCACAACGCGTTGTTGATGCCCGCGACCTCCAGTCCGCATCGCGCGCAACCTTCTGCGCGCCGACATGGCAATGGAGACAGTCGGCGCAATCTGTTTGTTGCAACATCGGAGGAGTGTTCACTCTCAGGGCTTCAAGTAACCGAATCAACTGCTCCTGCAAACGCGCCGCGGCAGTCAGAAACGCTTCCGAAGGTACTGGCGTAACGAGCGTCCACAAAGTTGCGTGCAACACAAATTAAAAGGGCACTGAGTTCGGACTGATGACAAATTCAAAACCAACCTGAAGATCATGTGTCCACCCACGTGGTCCGTTCACCACATCATTCACCGTTTATATGCAGACTGGGCCACGCAGGTGAAATAAGTCGGGCTAAGACCTCTCGAAACTCGGCATTCGATCGTCGGCTTTTCGTTGAAATGCAGCGTCGAAGCTCACTTTGCCACCAGCTGCGCATGAGCACAAACAGAATAAAGGAAAGGTGGCCGTCGAATAGGCAAAGTAACCGTCGGATATGAACATTCGACGTCTGCGGTACACCGAGGGGCAGGCCACCAGCTCCGAGCCCGACGTTGACACAATAAAAGGATGAAACTGAACCCCAGATCTTACAATCGAAGCGCACGTCGACCTTGGAGTTCCTCTCGAGGCCCCCGAAGAGCACCAGGAAGTTCCCCACGAGGCCAATATACAGCATCAGGATGCTCCCCTCGAGGCCCTACAAGAGAGAGAAGTACCACTGGAGCGTCCAAAATTAAGCCCAAAATCCGCCATCGCGCCCAGGATGCCGTGAGAGCGAAGCTCTGAATATAAAATAGGCAACCAACCCTCTCCCCACGAAGCGCGAACAAGTTCGACATATGGATCGTGATGCGCTGTCCGAAATCGTTTATTGCTTTCTCGCCTGGCTAGACTAGCGCATCCACGTACTCATCACCCAATGCTGCCTAGGCGGCGCTGGCCTCGACATAAAAACGGATGTTTGGCTAAAGGTTCGGCGAAACGGCAACAGAGTGCATCAGACAAGAGCGACACGTCTGAAACGTGCGTGTGGCATGCAAACACCTTCCAGTGCGCATGCATATATATATATATATATATATATATATATGTGCATATATATATTACATATATTTACACACATAAACATATACTTATGTGTGAAAAAAAACAACGCCTGGAAACATGCGTGCCTCCAGCCAGTCCTGAAAACAAGGAAGATACGAACATTCATACTGTAGCCGACAGGAGCAGAAACACATAACGACACACATGCACACAGGGATACACACACAGACGCACACGAACCCACACATACACACAAGAACACAAACACACACACACACAAACACACACACATACACACACACACACGGACACACACACACTTGAAATCGGCGGCGCAGGGGAACCTCGGGCGCGGTCGGCAGATGGAAATGCCAAGATATGCCAAGCGCGGACGAATTTAGCCGAACGCGCCGTGATGAAAGGGTCCAGCCACGGCAAAGCAACACGGACACACACACACACGGACACACGGACACACACACACACACACACACGCACACACACACACACACACACACGCACACCCGCACAGGGCTCCACACATAGGGCTCTCTCAAAGGCTTGCACATAGGGTTCGTTCCTGTCTAACTATGACGCGTCTGCGCGCGAGTATCCCCAAGCACCGCTTGCACTGAAGGGCTCCTATTTCGCTCTCGCAGTCGTAGATGGTGGCGTCGGGGTTTCGCCCCGTTGCCCCCCGTGGGAACGTCGTTGACACCTCGTGCGGTGGGTGCGTCAGCTGGGGTTTCGCGCTGCAGGCGCTTATACCGCGTAGCCTGCATGACACAGCTCCCACCACATATCTTGCACAGAACCGGTTGCACCACAAGGGTTGCACTACACAGTTTGCACCACATAGCTTGCACCACATAACTTGCACCCCATAGCTTGCACCACATAGCTCGCACCACATAAGGCGCATCTCACATACCATAGACAAGACGAAACGCGGGTGTCCGCCGGCAGGCGGGCCTCTTAGGAACGGCGCGGGCGGGCCGGGGCCCGATCATATGTGCGCGTGTGCGAGGTAATCCTTCTTTCATTTGTTCCAGAGTGGCTGATCTCGAGCAGCATCTAACCAAGTCTTGGTACTATCCCCAGTGGCAGCTCGTACAAATCGTGATATGTCGTCGCGCAACCTCTTTCGGTGTCTTCCTTGTCTGCGGATCGCTGATCTGGCGTCGTGGACATCGGGCTCCCACGATGAAGCAAATCTGGTCCATCTGAGGCGGGATTGCTCTGCGATTCGCCCTGCCCATCGCCATTGGCGGTTGTAGTACAAGGTCGTCCAGTCGTCGACTTTGAAGCGTGCCGCAAGATCTGCGGATGAAGTTCACCCACTGTTCTAGGTCGGAGTCGTCTTCGACGGTGTCGAGGTGAGCACGTGTTCTGGCGTCGTTGGTGCTCGTGGTGTCGCTTGAGCTCGTGCTGTCGTCGCGATGACCAAGATCGGGGTCTGCGTCGCCACTGGTGCTGGTGTTGCGTGTTGCCGGCGCTCGTCGCCTGGGTGTGTGTATGCGTTACGATTTGTTTTTCCTTCCCCCACGCAGCGAATACTGTACACAGTTTCGACCCCGGCGCTCAGAAGCACTGGGCGAATTTCTGGCGTCCCGGGGACATACATACGGTTTGGTCGGTCACACCGGTTCAAGCTCCATGAACGACCACGTAAACTTAAAAGCCACATAACTACGAATGGCAGGAGGAAGCGGAGGACGAACGGGCAGGAGAAGAGGAAGCCGGAGGAGGGTGTGTATGCGTTACGATGAGTCGTAGCATGCGTCGTTAGGGCGCGTCGCAATGTCAAGAGCATGTTTTTGGCAAGGGTCCACGCGGGGCAGCCGTACAGCACGCGTGGCGCCACCGTGCCGTTGAACAGTCGGAGTCTGCTGTGCAAAGGGCACCGTTTGTTTGTCAGCTCGTTGGGAGCTGGTGGGACCCTCCACCATCCCACGGCAATTCTGTTGGAGAGTTCAATGCAGTGGTAGTCGCGTAGCGTCAGCTTTCGGCCAAGGTACTTCGTGCTTCGCTCGGTGCTGAGGATTTCGACCGTATCGCCATCGATGTCAGGGTGCGTCGTCGCTCGTCCGTGCTGTCTGCTCAGATTTGTGGGTGCAACTCCAATCCGCATGTGGAAGCCACTGCTTGGGGGTCTACGCTTGCAAGCTATTCTCTAAATCACTTCTACGGAAGCAACGAATGACCTACACAATGGTTGCGATGAGGGCATCTTGCTCGTATCATGATGGCTGGGTGTTCTGGGTATTCGCCTGGTGGGCGCCCGCGGGCGTTCCGTGGGCACCTCGTGTTGGCAGGCTTTTCCAGATTTCTGGCGAGTGGGCGCCCTCGGGCGACTCTTGCTGGCTGGGCGATTATGGTGCTTACCCGTTGGGCGCCCAGCGTCGTCTGGGTGCCCCGTGCTCTCGCCCGGTGGGCGCCCGGCGCCTGTGGGCGCTTCGTCGCCGCCCACCCAGCTTGCACCACCAAGACTGCACCCCGCAGCTTGTGCCACAGAGCTTGCATCACATAGCTTGCGTTACGGATTTCGCATCGCTAAGATTGCTCACGCAGCGCTTGCCACCACACTTGCATAGCATTCTAGCGTTTACCGCTCACGTTACACTACGTGGCTACCCCACAGAGCCTGCGCGACCCATACTGCACCACATTTAGATTTGAAGTGGACTCCAGCACGCAGCTTACCCGTCCAGTGCACTGACCCACCGCTTGGGGCCCACGCTGGCACACATCTAACAAATAGACAAAACGTGCGCCGCCTTCAGGAGGCTAGCACTCGTGAACTCGGCGGTGTACCTGGCGAAGAGGAAGACACCCAGGGCCACCATGCCGCCCGCCCCCAGCACGGCCCACCTCACCAGCTCGAACGAGACGGCGAAAAAAAAGGAAGCCGTCAGGTTGGAGAGAAAAGCGATGGGTGGGGAGCAGAAGCAGTAGACCTACCTCGCCTCACCCCTCGCAGGAAGGTGGAGGGCCGTGGCCGGAGTCCTCCCCCTTTCCCTCCTCGTCTCCCCTCTCCGTCTGCGAGACCCTTCAAGGACTCCCTGCCAGGCCCCCAGCACCACTCGGAGCCCTCCTCTTCCCGCCTTTATCTATGGTTTTTCTTACAGAACCATCAATCCGCCCGATGTCCAGCTTCCGCTTCCCAGAAGGGCCATCAGCAGGTGAATGGGATCATTTCACAAGGGGGAATGGGGGAAGGAAGAGGAGGAAGGGGAAGAGGAGGAGAGAGGAGGGGAGGTCTCGCTTCCGCTCCCCAGGAGGGTCATAAACAGGTGGTGGCGCGTGTACAAGGAAGACCGCACGCTCCAGGACGCGGCGACCATCAGCGCCGGCAGCGAGGCCGCGCAGCAGAAGGACAGGGTGTGCCAGCCCACCTGACCGCCTCCTGCTCCTCCCTCTCCTCCCATTCTCCTCCCTCGTCCTCCTCCTCTTCCTCCTCCTCCTCCTCCTCACATCCTCCCCTGCCTCATCCCTACCTCCCCTGGACGGAGCGCGCGGCCCTCCTGCCGCTCGGCCGTGGGGACCAACAGCACGGCGATCTTCCTCGGCGGCGCGCACAAAAGGCGGACGGCAAGTTCCCCGGGGGGGGGATCAACGAGGGGGAGAAGGAACTGCTGTGCTTTTCATTCCCAACAACCATCCTGTGGTGCTGTTGAAACGACGGCGCCCCGCGTCCCTCCAAGACTCCTCCTCCCCCTCCTCCTGCTCCCCACCTCCCATGCCTGCCCCTGCCCTCCGCATGCTCGCTCCGGCACACCACTCGCACGGCTCGCGGCCCCATAGCGGGCTCCACCGAAGGCCCCAGAGGCAGGTTTCGCATGCGGCTCCCCGCGCATCTCGGCACACACCCTGCACGCCTCGTGGCCCCACGGGGACCTCCACCAAAAAAGCGGTGCCACAACGCGGTACTCACAACTGCATGCGGTTGATCAGAAGGCCGCCCCCCCTCCCCCCGCACCTTCTCGTTGACAGCGACAAACCTCATCCTCCTCTGTGCATGCCTTCAAGCTATAACCATGTCTCCTCTGCCTCCTCCTCCTCCTCCAACACCTACTCCTCCTCCTCCTCCTCCTCCTCCTCTCCTCCCTCCTCCTCCTCCTCTCCTCCCCCTCCTCCTCCTCCTCCTCCTCCTCCTCCTCCTCCTCCTCCTCCTCCTCCTCCTCCTCCTCCTCCAAGGTCGAGCCCCAGACCTCGCCAGGGGTGTGCTCCGGCCCTCGATCTCCACGGGGGATCCAGCCGTGGCGACGAGGGCGCCCCAGGAGGCCCCAAAACGCCCGACAGTAAACGTCCTGGAGCCACAGCCCTCTTCTCCTCCTCCTCCTCCTCCTCCTCCTCCTCCTCCTCCTCCTCCTCCTCCTCCTCTCCTCCTCCTCCTCCTCCTCCTCCTCCTCCTCCTCCTCCTCCTCCTCCTCCTCCTCCTCCTCCAAGGTCGAGCCCCAGACCTCGCCTCGATCCTCGATCCTCCTCCACGGGGGTTTCTGCAACCCACTGGAAGTTCCCAGAGGCTTCTTCTGCGGGTCTCCAGAAGCCTCTGGAGGCACCCAGAGGTTGAACAAAAAGGTAGGGAGCCTCGATCCTTCTCCTCCTCCTCCTCCTCCTCCTCCTCCTCCTCCTCCTCCTCCTCCTCCTCCTCGAATTCGCTCGTTCGAGTTTCCTCTCTTTCATCGTAGTGCTGCGCGTGCTCGTCCTTTTTCCTGCTCGTTCTCTTTGCTTGTCTGTTGCTCTGCGCACTCTGCTCGATTTGGTCGTGCCTCCTCCTCCTCCTCCTCCTCCTCCTCCTCCTCCTCCCCCTCCTCCTCCTCCCCTCTGCTCGCCCCCTTTGCTCGCCCCTTGGCTTCCCGACCCAGCGGCCCATGCGGTTCCAGCGGATGGCCATGGCCACGGGCACCGGCAGCGCGGCCACCGGCCCTGCGCATGGGGAGGGGGCGTGCAGCGCACCGCAAGCCCTGGCGGCACCCGCGGGGCTCTGGCGGGGTCGCGGTGGTCTGGTCGCACCTCCTCCTCCCCCCCCTCCTCCTCCCTCCACCTCGTTCACCTCCTCCTCCTCCTCCTCCTCCTCCTCCTCCTCCTTACATCATCCTCCACCTCCCCCTCCTCCCTCCTCTCCTCCTCCTCCTCCTCCTCCCTCCCTCCTCCTCTCCTCCTCCTCCTCCTCCTCCTCCCCTCCTCCTCCTCCTCCCTCCCCTCCCCCTCCTCCTCCTCCTCCCTCCTCCTCCTCCTCCTCCTCCTCCTCCACCTCCTCCTCCTCCCCCTCCTCCTCCTCCTCCTCCACCTCCTCCTCCTCCTCCTCCTCCTCCTCCTCCTCCTCCTCCCGCGGCCACCAGCCCTGCACGGGGAGGGGGGCGTGTAGCGCAGAAGCTTGGCGGCACTTGAAAGGTTCTCTTGACTCTACTCCTGTTCCGACGAGAGCGTTACTTTCACTCGGGCCAGACTCGCGCCGGGCGCGCCCGCCCCTGTTCCCCACGGCTGGACACAAAAGCCCCATCGGTGCCGCCGCGGCGCCGATGGGGCTCTGACGGGCTCGTGGTGGTCTGGTCGCACCTCCTTTTTCCGCTTCGCTGCGCATCTTCTGGTGGCTCGCACGAGAGGAGGAGGTGGCGCAAGGGTGCTGCCTCCCAAGAAGGCGGGGTTGTTCTGAGGCGGCGGGGGCTTTCGCAGAAGGGCGCGGAGGCTTCCGAGGAGGCTTCCTAGATGCCAGGAGGCATAATGAGAAGCCCCCTGCCTGCTTAGACGCCGCCGCACAGCTTTGTTGCTGCCGAGAGTGAATTGCCGCGTCTCTGTTTACGGTTTTGTGCTCGCTTATCGACGCTACGACTTGCGGTCAGAGTTTGGACAACGTAAAGGACCAGGAGGAAGCCAGACATCCAACGGATCGAAGAAACCACGACGACAATTTTGTCTGAGTTCTGGGCCTCAGCAGGCCCATTCCAGGCCCTGGGACTCCGAAAACGACCCGCGGTGAAAAAAACGGTCCTGGTGATGGGGTCGAGAGATCGGCAGGCCCGCGGATTGAACAAGTCAAAGCGTTGGAGGTTCGGGATGACACTCGGACCCAGGCGTGGAAAAATTACGCCTAAAAGCGTAGTTGATAGCCCACGTCGTGACTTGCACTTTTCACAGTCGTCGAGAGATGAGGATGCGCCCCGAAACTCTGCAAGGACTCGCTCAGGGGCAAGTCGGTGTGTCGATGCTACGAGAAGTGGGTGGGTGGGAAGAAACTGATAACTGAGAATACATATGGAGGAACACGTGTGAAGCATATTGGATTTCGACCAGAGGTTTCGCGACGCGTTCTAAAGCGAATTTGTTCGACCGTTGACGTAAAATGGCACCTGAAGTAGATGACGATCTGAGATTCAAGAGGCCCTGCTCTCAGCGACCCGCGAGGACAGCCATCGTGCTACCAGAAGGAGCGCTGGGGCTTTCCTGGCCACAGCGAGTCTCGGCTTCGAATACGTTCCCCGACCTAACTTTAAGTCGGGCGCGTCCCTCTATAGGCTCTACAGGAGGACTTTTTAAAAGTAGTCCAAAAATAATGTGGGGACGATTTTTTGGACTGCTAAAATGACGCGAAGATCGGGACAAAATCGGATCGGGATAACTCGAAATCTCTGAGAATCGGCGGGTTTGGAGGATGTATTGGGCGCCGCGGCCGCTCCAGAGCGTTCCAGAACGCTCTGAGAGCGCTCCGGAACGCTCTGGAGCGATTTATCCCGATCCTAGCCCTGTTTTAACTACTCTTGACGATTTGGGGTCTTTTTGGACTATCTTTCCTCGTTCGTCCAAAATCCACCTGCAGGGGGGCGTGCCCGACCCACACCTCGCTCTACGGAGCAACCCGAAAGCCAGAGCCCCTCCTGGGCCCGCAGTGGTCCTCATGCCAGCGCCTTGGCTACGTACATCAGCTCGGGAGCGGCAAAGAGGGGGGCGTCCAAGAGGGGGTGGCGCAAATCATGGCCGGCGGCATGTGCGCGGCCCAGGCGGGGGCCAGGGACGTAATGAAATAAGAAGAGGCGCCATGAAATCTGGGGAAACATCATGGCCCACGCCACGATATCCCCCCCCCCCTAGTCATCACCCCCCTCTTTGCCGCCCCCGATACATCAGCTCGGGGCCCGGACCTCTGTGGGCATGACCCGTCGGCCGGGCCCAGGGGGCCCACGCCGACGGGCGAGAAGGGGGGGGGGCAGTGAAGGGGAAGCCTGCGGACCAGCTCACGCCGCTGGCCTCCCCGGCGCCCCCCAGCGCCGGAGGCGGCCACGTGTCTAGGATTAGGTCGGGCATGTCCCCCTACGGGCGGAGTCTGGACGAGAAATCAAACAACAGTCAAAAGAAAACCTGAAAGGGTCAAAAAGAGTTAAGAAATCGTCCCCGGCTTTGTACTTTTAAACTACTTTAGAATATTCCTCCTGTCGAGGGACGTGCCCAACTCAGATCTAGCAGAGCGCCTGGCGGCGGGGCCAGGACCAGCTGCACGCAGCAGATTGCGCACCCCCCCGTTTCCCCCACCACCACCCTCGGCTACACGCAAGAGTGACCCTGGGTAAGAGTGACCCTTTGGTGCGCGGCCTTTTGGGGGGCCGCGGGGGGACCAACACACAAGCGCGCGAGACCCAGACCCCCGACGTCGTGATTTTTTCATGACGTCGACCCCCAGAGGTCTGGACCCTTTCCCCGGGACCGGTTTTTCATCCTGAGTCGTTTTTTGACGCTCCCGCGGCCCGGTGAGGACCTCCAGAGGGGGAAAATAGAGAAAAACCTTCCGTCGTGATTTTTTCACGACGCGAGGGGGTCTGGGGACGCTACTATCGCCCCGCGCTCGGCGATCGGGGGACCCCAACGGGCCCGCACCAAAGATCACTCCGGCGAAGGGTCACTCTTACGTTTCGTCGACCCCCCCTGGGGTCCGACCCGAGCCAGGCCCGGCCAGCGGAAGCCGGGCGGTGTCGCTGCCCGGCGAGGCGCGGCGCCGCCAGGAGCGCCAGGGGAGGGAGCCAGGTGTCGGAAACAGCTGAGCAACACTCGCGCAGGACATATGTCAGGGGGACGTAAGACCCGGGTACAGGGGACTCGAAAATCCCCGACGAGGTCGTCAAAAAATGACGAGGCCGAGCCTGCATTTTGACGAGGCCTCCCGCTGCAAAGATCCCACGAAACTCCTCCTCGTCAAAATCCGAGGCGCGGTCGTCAAAAAACGATGGCGAACCCGAGTCCTGGCAAACCCGGGTCTTACGCTCCCCCGAATATGGTGTGAACTCCGCCCCCCGCCCCCGAATGCAGTGTTGGGCTCGGACCTCCCGAGCTTGCGTGTCGGGCCGATGGTCCGTATCCGTGCCAACCTCGAATTGCCGGGGGGAGGGGGGGGGGAGTGTTGCTGAATTTTCCCCTCCACCGGCGGGGGGGTCCTGCCCCCTGTGGAGGAGTGGCGGTGGCGGGTACGTGCCCACTCCTCCCCCTCTCGACCCAGCCGCGCGACCTGTCCCGCCTCGAGGGATCTCTGGCCTCCGAAGTGTCCCCCGAGGCCGCCGACCCTGCCTCTCGCGGCTCGCTTTCGTTTGGCGTCGGGTCCGTCTGCTTCCCGAGCTCTGCATACCCCCCATGGTCTCGTTCTGGGGACCTTCCTGGAGCCACTCGCTCCACTCGTGCGTCGAAGCTCCGTCGAACGTCAGTCGATTGGGGTCGACTCTGAGTCGAACCTGAGTCGAACCTGAGTCGACCCTGAGTCGACCCTGAGTCGAACTTGAGTCGAACTTGAGTCGAACTTGAGTCGAACTGGGGTCGAACAGATCCGTTAGGTGGGCTCCAGGAAGCTCCCCGAAACGAGCATCGAACCATGGGGTCCCATACGGCAGAGCAGCCTCCGGGCGATGGCGGAGCACGCCGCCGAGCTTCTCTGCCGGCTTCCGCCTGCGGGCCCCGCCGCAGTTCACTGCTTCTCCCCGGCCTCCGCAGGCCTTCCGCCGGCAGCCGCGCCCCCCTCGCCATCGCTCGGACGTCCATTCCCTGTGCCTTTTGTCGGTTTCGTGCGTGGTTTTTTCGCCGAATGATCAAGGATGCTCCTCGACGGTCCTCGCCGAAAGAAAGACGCATACGTCCGAGCGATGCCGAGCCCCAGGCGAGGGGCCCCGGCCCGGAGGCGAGGCCTTCTCTGGACCGCCCCCCGCGCGTTCTGCGCTCCCGTTCTGGATCTCCCCGTGGGGTCCGACGTAGCGGAGCAGCATCGAGGCGGTGCGCGAGTAGGCGGCCAGGCAGCCCAGGTCACGCCGGAACGGGCTGTGCAGCGAGCGCAGCGGGAACGCGGCGGCCACGGCGTGCAGCAGCCACAGCTGCATGAGGCTGCCGGTCAGCAGCACCCGAGCGGCCAGCTGGTCCATTCTCTCCTCTCGGGGGGAGGCTTCAGGAGGGGGGGTCGAGGATCGCAGCTCGATGCTTGGGGACGCGTTTCGCCTCACGTGGGCCTCTGAGTGCCTCTGGAGGCCTCCAAGGACTTCCGGGAACCAGCTGGTCCGTCCTCTCCTTCAGGGGGGGGGGGCCAAGTCACCGAACTTCGCGCTTCGCTTCGCGCTCCACGATGCGAAACGCGCGGTTATCTTCGCGCCCTTGCGCCGACGCCCTGGAGAGAGGAAGGACTTTATGGGGCCCCCGGACCGACAAAGCACTAATCGAGACGAAGAAACGATCCCAGGATAAGAGTTGACACCTACCAGGGGTTCTTAACCGATCACTGAAGAAGCCACGGGGGGGTGCTCCATGACACCAGAGAGCACCGAATCCGCACACTCTTTCGGACATCCGCGCGGTGCTCTGGTGTCGGCGCTGGATCCCCTTCCCCGGCGCGCGGAGCAGGGCTCGGCGCCGGAGGCGCCGCTGGGGTGTGGGGAGAGGGGGAGCCAGCACCGACCCAAGAACTGCGCGCAGACCTCCGAAGGCTCAGGTGTGTATGCCTCCTCCTCCTCCTCCTCCTCCTCCTCCTCCTCCTCCTCCTCCTCCTCCTCCTCCTCCTCCTCCTCCCCCCTTCTTCCTCCTCCTCCGCCTCCGCCTCCTCCTCCTCCTCCTTCTCTGGGTTTTTGTCTTCCCCCCCCACTTCCCATAGTTTCCCATCTTTTCTGGGGAATCGACGATTCATTGTGTCGGTGTGTTTTTTTCCCTCTTGACTCAGGTGTGTATGCCGCTTCTGGCCCTTCCGGTTTGGGGCTCCGGTGTGTATGACGCTTCTTGCGGGTCCCAAGAATATACACCACCACCACCACCACCACCACGTCGATTCCTCCATCTTCCTCCACCCTCATCTTCCTCTCCTCCTTCCCGGGGGAGGGAGGGGATGAAGGAGGTGGTGGTGGTGTATAGCTTTGGGCCCCGCACTTCTGGCCCTTCCGGTTTGGGGCGCAGGGCAGGGAGGCGCCGGCCCGGACTCGGCGAGGCATCGCCGACAGGCCGGCCACGGCCGCCGCCGAGGGCGAGGCCGCGCGCGCTTCGGCGGGCGCCGGCAGGCGGGCGGCCTCGGCTCGGCGCTGCCACCCCTCCCCGGGTCCTCCACGCCCCCGTCCCGAGCCACCTCCTCCTCCTCCTCCTCCTCCTCCGCCTCCTCCGCCTCTCCTCCTTCTCCTCCTCCGCCTCCTCCGCCTCCTCCTCCTCCTCTGCCTCCTCCGCCTCCTCCTCCTCCTCCTCCGCCTCCTCCGCCTCCTCCTCTCCTCCTCCTCCTCCTCCTCTCCTCCTCCTCCTCCTCCTCCTCCTCTCCTCCTCCTCCTCCTCCTCCTCCGCCTCCTCCGCCTCCTCCTCCTCCTCCTCCTCCTCCTCCTCCTCCTCCTCCTCCTCCTCCTCCTCCTCCTGCGCCACAGCCGATCCCTCGTCGCACGCCGCGGCATGGTGCCGCACCCGGGCGGCGCCTCGGCAAGCTGCGAGACGGACAGCAGGGCAGCAAGGGCGCTGCGGCGTGCACGGGAGAACCGGCGGGCAGAACATCCGCCCCGATGAAGGGTGACCACCCCGTCCCGCGAAGCCGTTTCGTAAACGCACCCAGGGAGGGAATCGACCAGGGCAGGGCTGTTTGGTAAACGCGCAAGGTTCGTTCAGGAAGCGCCGACTGTCCGGTCCAGGTGGTTCGTCCTCCCTCGAAGAAGGTGCAAGGCTCGAGTCGGCACATACACCCTGCGATATGCTTAAGAAATCATGGGTTAAGAAATTCGTAGTCTCAGAATTTGCATAAAAACCCAGCATGTCGATCCAAAGCTTAGGATTTATAATACAACATTAAGAATAATCGAGACTCTGGCTGAAAACGTAAGTTTTCTCAAGCATCGCCGGTGACCCCTGCGCTGGGGAGCCGGGGCAGCGGAGGGGCGGGGCGGCCCCGGCCTCGGGCACGACGCACGGCGCGCACGCCACTCCTGCCGCCGCGGTGCCCCGAATCCCCAGGGCCACGTGCAGTCATGGGCCTGACCGAAGGAACGATAAATCAGGAACGAAGCCCCCTCTTTCCACGGAGTAGCGGATAAGGAGCGACATATAATACATGACGCATAAGGAGCGGTAAATAAACGCATGCAAGCCTAAGGAACGACCGAGCCCCTTTTTGAAAAGCAAGTGCTCCTCATTCACGCCGCTCACTGTAGTGCTGGGGTGCCTTCTGGCCCCCGGGCTCCTCGCGGGAGAGTACCGTCAGGTCGACCTTGTGGCCTTTGAGGTCGTTCGGCGCGGCCATGGCCTGCTGCGCGACGGGAACCGCGCAGGCCAGCGAGTGGACACCCAGGGCCAGCAGCAGCGTGAACAGGATCATGAGGATCTGGAAGATCCCCGCTGGAGACCACATGCCGTCGGCACACCGGACGTCGCAGTGCGGGAAGCGCCTTTGAAGGGGCCCCAGGACACACAAATAAATACTCACAAATTAAACAATCCCCAAATTTTCCCATATTTTCTAGGTTTTCGTCTTCCCCCCCACTTCCCATATTTTCTTATATTTCCATGGGAATCGACGATTAATTGTGTCTGTGTGTTTTTTCCCCTCCTGAGCCTTCTGAGTCCACGCTGGATGTCGAAGAGGATCTGCTCTGGTGGGATGGCGTCGCCCACTGCCCAGAGGAGCCTGTGGCAGATTCGCTCCGGCTCCAGCGTCAGCACCACGCGGTTGTGGTCTTGCAGCTCGTTGTCAAAGGATGCCTCTGGTTCGACCAGGGGGAGAAGGCGGAGGGGAGGAGGAAGAGGAGGGGCGGGGCAAGTACACGCCAGGTCTCGACAGAGAGCAAGAGACAGGATGGGTTGCCCGGGTGCCTCGTCCTCGAGGAGCTTCTCGAGTTTCTCCTCGAACTTCGCGCGGCTGCTCGGGAGGGACAGGTGGGGCCACCTCCGAGAGAAGTGCCTCCTGTTCTCCCAAAGGCACTCAAGCGCCTCTGATACGAAGCCAGGACAGGGGCAAAATCGAACAGGGGGCAAATCGGGGATCTCTAAGATACGGCGGTTCTGAACGACGTACCGGGCGCCGTGGCCCTCTCGGAGCGCCCTGGAACGCTCGGAGGCTCCGGGAACGCTCTGGAACGCTCGAGCCCTGTCCCAGCCCCGCTGGAGCCTCTGCCTTCCAGGCCGTCGCTATGGCGTGCGCGTCGGGAAGGCTGGGCCGGACCGCCCTGCTGCTGGAGCTGGTGCCCATCCGGCGGAGGAGGCCCGCGAGGCGAGGTCCTCGCCGCTTGTGCGCGACCTCGACGTAGAACTGGCAGAAGAGGTGCTCGTAGTCGAGGATGGAGCGCCTGGAGTCTGCGGCGTGCTCCAGGGAGGGCGCGGGGTTGAAGGCCTCGGCCCTCGTCTCGGACCTCGTCGGCGGCGGCGTCGGGTCCGTCAGCCGCAGGGAGCCCTGCTCCAAGCTCCAGGAGCTGGTTGCCGAGCCGATCCTGTTCAGCGCGTGCGAGCTCCGGCGCAGGAGGGGGTTCAGCGGCAGGGGCATGCCCACACCCAGGGGCGGGGCCGCGCCGCTCCGCACCGTGACGACGGTCATGCTGTCCTCGCCGTCGCCGAAGCCGTCCTCGTCCTGGAAGTCCGACACGCTCCTCTGAAGGGGCCCTGGGACACACAAATAAACAGACACGAATAACCGGACTCCCCATATCTTCCCACATGTTCTGGGCTTTTGTCTGTCCCCCCACTTTTCCCACACTTTCCCATATTCTCTAGGGAACCGTCGATGAATCGTGTCTGTGTGTTTTTTCCCCTCCTGCTCCTCTGCCAGATGATGCTGACGCCCTCCGCCATCAGGGCGGCCGCGGGCACGTCCGAGAGGTGGCCGCCGGCCCAGCGCGGCGCCCGGGGCCGGAGCGCGGCTGCTGTGGCCCCGGGGGTTGGCTCCGACCCGCTGGCCAGGGCTAGCAGGGACGGCGAGGTCTGCACCTCGGCAGGGGAGCAGATCTCCTCCTCCCTCCCTCCTCCTCCTCCTCCTCCTCCTCCTCCTCCTCCCCTCCTCCTCCTCCTCTCCTCCTCCTCCTCCTCCTCCTCCTCCTCCTCCTCCTCCTCCTCCTCCTCCTCCTCCTCCTCCTCCTCCTCCTCCCTCCTCCTCCTCCTCCTCCTCCTCCTCCTCCTCCTCCTCTCCTCTCCCCTCCTCCTCCTCCTCTCCTCCTCCTCCTCCTCCTCCTCCTCCTCCTCCTCCTCCTCCTCTCCTCCTCCTCCTCCTCCTCCTCCTCCTCTCCTCCTCCTCCTCCTCCTCCTCCTCCTCCTCCCTCCACAATTACTCAATATGAATACTACTCTCCCTCTTCCCCTGATGGCGTGCTGGGAGTGGCCGACCCCCCCCCCGCGTACTGTTTTTTAACACACAGGATTCCCGGGAGTTGGGTTTTCGCCTGTTTTTTTTCGAACTGCTGCTCTCGCTGAGGCGCTGGCCTCATTTCTGCTCCCGAATCGTTCCGAATCGTGCTCCCGCTGCAGCGTGGGCCTCATTTTCGGATCGGTGCTTGGCCTCCGTCGTTCAGGATGGCGTTCTCGCCCCAGCGCGGGCCTCTTTCTCGCGCGCCCATCCGCCCGCCACCACCGCGCCGAACACACAGGATTCCCGGGAGTTGGGTTTTCGCATGGTTTTTTTTTCAAAATGCTGCTCTCGCTGAGGCGCTGGCCTCATTTCTGCTCCCGAATCGTTCCAAATCGTGCTCCCGCTGCAGCGTGGGCCTCATTTTCGGATCGGTGTTTGGCTTCCGTCGTTCAGGATGGCGTTCTCGCCCCAGCGCGGGCCTCTTTCTCGCGCGCCCATCCGCCCGCCACCACCACCACCACCACCACCACCACCACCACCACAACCACCACCACAATCACCACCAGCACCAGCACCAGCACCAGCACCACCACCAGCACCACAACCACGCACACACGCACGCACGCACGCACGCGCACCACCACCCACTACGCACGCGCGCGCGGAGCCACAGGTCCGCTACGACACGCGTCCGCGGATAGAGAAAATCAGCGCCATGGTAAGGGATGGGAGGGAGGGGTAGGACGTCAGATATGACGCGACGCTAGTCCTCCTCCCCATACCCCTCCTCCTCCTCCTCCTGCGTCCTCCTGCTCCGCCGCCTCCTCCTCTCCTCCGCCTCCTCCTCCTTCCTCCCCCTCCCCTCCCCCTCCTCCCCTCCTCCCCTCCCCCCCCCTCCCCTACTCCTCTCCTCTCCTCTCTCCTCTCCTCCTCCTCCTCCTCCTCCTCCTCCTCCTCCTCTCCCCCCCTCTCCCCTCCCTCCTCCTCCTCCTCCTCCTCCTCCTCCTCCTCCTCCTCTTCTTCTTCTTATTAGTATTCTTCTTCTTCTTAGTATTATTCTTCGTTTTCTTATTATTATTAATATTATTGTTCTTCTTATTATTATTATATGACTATTATTATGCTTCGTCTTGTTATTACTACTATTATTATCGTTATAAAATGTCAGTGCTATTACGATTCGCATTATTATTATTAGTATTATTATTATTAGTATGTATTAGTATTGTTAGTATTATTATTGTTATTATTATTATTGCTACCATGTATTATTATTAGTGTCATTATTACTATCATCAGTAGTGTTAGTATTACTACTACTACTACTACTACTACTACTACTACTACTACTACTACTACTACTACTACTACTACTACTATTATGATAGTAGTATTAGTATTAGTATTAGTATTAGTATTAGTATTCGTATTATTATAAGTATTACTATTAGTATTAGCATTAGTAGTCGTATTAGTATTGGTGTTCGCATCCGTATTCGTATTAGTATTAGTATTAGTATTATTCATGTTCTTCTTCTTCTTCTTCCTCTTCCTCCTCCTCCTCATTCCTCCTCCTCCCCCTCCTCCTCCTCCTCCTCCTCCTCCTCCTGCTCCTCCTTCTGCTCCTGCTCCTGCTCCTGCTCCTCCTCCTCCTGCTCCTGCTCCTCCTCTCCTCCTCCTCCTCCTCCTCCTCTCTCCTCCTCCTCCTCCTCCTCCTCCTCCTCCCCCTCTCGTTGCCCCCGACCTTTGCCCCTCCCCGCCGCCTGCCGCATGCGCTGGCGCGCGGGGAGGTCCCGCCGCGCCCAGCCGCAGCCGATCCAGGAGGGCGAGAGGGGCGGGGAGCCGTCGCGCGCCACCCCGAGCCGCGAGCCGACCTTCAAGTCGGGCGTGTCCCCCTACAGGGGGATTTTCGACGAGAAATAAGAAATACCTCCAAAAATACTCCCGAATGGCCAAAAGATGCTCCAAAAATAGTCAACCGACAATTTTTGCTATTTTTTTGATATTCCTCCTGTAGAGGGACAGGCCCGACTTAAGCCGACCTTCTTGAGGGCGGTGCCCACCGCCTCGCCCACCGCGAGCATGAGCTTCTCGGCGTTGTGGTCGGACTCCAGGACCTTGGCCGCCCCGATGCGCACCACGCAACACGCAGCGTAGTGCTACGGAGCCCGACACGCATCCTGAAGACGTGGGCCTGACGCGATGCTTTCGCCAAAACGTGGGCCAATACGTTGAGCCAACGCGCAACGTGTTGGCACGGACGTCTTGAGCACGGCACGCGTTGCGTATCAGAACGTGCGTATCGAGGCAGTTAAGTGCAGGACGGGGGCGCGGGAGCAGACCAGCTCCAGGTCCCCCTCCGGGGCGCAGCTGCCGGCGCTGGTCTGCCTCTCGGGCGTGCCGGCGCGGCAGCCCCGGGAGCCGAGGGCTCCCTCACGGGAGCCGCCGCCGAGCTCCTCCCGCTCCCGGGCGCGCTGCTCGTAGAACTCCTGGGTGGTCATCCGCGCCAGGCTGCGGCGCTCCTCCGTGCACTGGCGCGCCACTGGGGCGCCATCGCCCTGGTGGGCAGAGAGATTTCGTCACGTGATGCGGAGTCTCCTCCCCTCCCCTCCTCCTCCTCCTCCTCCTCCTCCTCCTCCTCCTCCTCCTCATCCTCCTCCTCCTCCTCATCCTCATCCTCATCCTCCTCCTCCTCCTCCTCCTCCGCCTCCTCCTCCTCCGCCTCCTCCACCTGAGACTCGCTCCACGTGACGTATCCCAGTTGCCGACCTGGCGCGTCGGCGTCGGCGTGCCACACTCTTCGAAGAGGACCATGGCACATCCCAGGGCCGCCCCGGCCCCCCCCGCGCCCTACAGGCGGCCCTACAGACGCCCTACAAGCGGCCCCCCCCCAAGCCCCCCCCGCGCCCCACAGGCGGCGGGGGGGCCCGCCCTGGGCGCGCGCGCCCGTGCGCTCCCCTGGAGCCGGGAGGCGCGAGCACCAGCGCCACTCGGCACGCCACCCCGTCGCCTTCGCGCGCGTCGCGCTGCAGAAGATCCTGGGCGCCTCCAGTCTGCCCCCACCCCAACCTCCCCCTCCTCCTCCTCTCCTCCTCCTCCTCCTCCCCCCTCCCTCCTCCTCCTCCTCTCTCCTCCTCCTCCGCCTCCTCCTCCTCCTGCTCCTCCTCCTCCGCCTCCTCCGCCTCCTCGGCCTCCTCTGCTCCTGCTCCTCCTCCTCGTCCGCCTCCTCCGCCTCCTCCTCCTCCTCCTCCTCCTCCTCCTCCTCCTCCTCCTCCTCCTCCGCCTCTTCCACCTCGCAGGACCCGTCATAGGCCTCCAGTGCCGCTGGCAAGCCACGGCAGTCCACCTGCTGCCTTTCTCTCGGCAGCGCAGCACAGGCCGCATGTGGCGGCCAGCCACGGTCGGAGCAAGAGCGCCCAACAGAGTGCGACCAGCACAGCACGTTGCCGTACTCTTTCCTCGTCTCTTCCCCCTTTTTCCCTTCCTCCTGCCCCCCGCCCGTCATCCATCCTCTTCCTCTTTCCCTCATCCCTCCTCCTCCCTCGCCTCCTCCTCCTCCTCCTCCTCCTCCTCCTCCTCCTCCTTCCTCCTCATCCTCTCCCCTCCTCCTCCTCTAGTCCTCCTCCTCCTCCTCCTCCTCCTCCTCCTCCTCCTCCTCCTCCTCCTCCGCCTCCACCTCCTGCTCTTCCTCTTGACTGACGAGCCACCAGTGGACGGCGCACCCATGCGCAACGCCCGCGAAACGCGCACCTCTCGGTACGCCTCGCAGCGCGCGGCTCCCCATCGCGCCGCACAGCGCGAGGGCATGGGAGGCAACTCGCACTCTCGACCCTCACCTGCACGATCCTGGAGGTGGGGCAGGGGCAGGAAGAGCCACGGGGCCGCTGGCTTATTATTATTATTATTATTATTATTATTATTATTATTAATAATATTATTATTATTATTAATATTATTATTATTATTCTTATTATTATTATTAGTATTATTATTGTTAGTATTATTATTACTAGTATTAGTATTA